GATTGAAATAGTCGATAAAGAACGAGTTAAAGTTCTTATTCGTTCACAAGCTTTAAAGGATAAATATCACTCTGATGCTGTTATTGTTACATTTGATTGTGGTCAAGGTAATGTTACACATATGATTTCACATTTTTATTTACAACGCTCCGAAACGGCTAATGCTCGTCATAAGATGCCGGCTCAACAATATGCACAAGACATTAAAGCATCAGATAATATTACCAAACTGATTACTAAAGATGGTCAAAATCTGAATTATGCTCAAATTCAATCGTCATCAACTTCAGCTCAATTTGTTTATAATCTAATTTCGAATCGTCTTAACTCGACAAATAAATCGACTTCATCAACAAATAGTCGAAAAGATTTTCAATAATGTGTTTTTAAACATTTGATAATCATCGAAACTCATTTAAAAACACTTGTATTCAAATTTTTAGTAGTAAAAAAAACGAATTATTAGCGAACTATGAAAACAAAACTATTATTCTCAAAATTGAGCGAATTAACTTTTTTTTGTGAATTTCATTTTTTATTTAAACAAGTTTGTGCTTTCACCTTCATATATATTTCGATTAAGAGTTTAATAAAATTTTGAAAAATAAAACACAATTTTCCTATCTATGAAAGTTCATTATCTATTATTCAAACTTTAGAGGAAGTCATACAGCTTAAATTCATTAATGACTGATAATCACTTTCTTTGTAAGATAGACTTCGCCGAACCATCGTCCAAGCTATCCGTAGCTAGGTTTTTGTTTTCGACCCTTCATATGCACTTTGAAAACTCGTACAGCGTTCTTGCAAAATTCTAAAATACCTGAGTCTCAGATTATCATCCGTTGCGAAGCTGATCAAGTATGGATCATTCGAATGACGTTGTGTAGTGGCGACGAACACCATTTCAAGGACGTTCTTGCACGTATGAAGAACCAAAATGGAAGCGAACCGACAAATCTTCGAACATTCGGAAAGATCTTATGGCAAATGGGTAAACTTCATCTGGCTGAAAAATACTACAATCGCTTGTTGACGAAACCTCCACTGAATGATCCTGTAATCAGCAACGTTTATGAAGATCTCGCTCAGATTGCTTCGGAAAAAGGTAACTTCGACAATAGTATGCAATGGCGACAAAAATTTCTTGCAATTACAAACCAACATCAGTCAACTGGTACTGCTCACATTGACAACATCAGCAACTCTATTGGTAAGTTCATCGAAAAATTTGATCGCTATTGATGGAGTCAGTAGTTGGTATCAAATAAGAAGTTATATTTTTGTGTGCATGTTTATTTTAGTTGAATTGATGACTGTATCTGAGAGTTAGATTGAAATGAAATGATACTTACTAAAAAGTCAGTGCCAATGCAAACTATTGTTAAGTCTATGTTAAACTCAACCAATTTTCATTATTGTATTGTATTCAATCGTTCATTGTGTCATTCTCTAATATTCGTCTTTAGTTCTATTATTGAGTTTACCAGGCAGACAGTCGACCAGTCAAAAGTGAACAGATGCATAGTTATTAAAAAAATATACGCGGAGTGTCCAGAAATTCATTAAACAACAAGAAAATTGAATATCTTCATTATGGCTCGAGTAAACGAGCTGATATTTTTGTCAATGATGAAGGTATGTTCAAAGTTTATATCTATAAAGACATGCCTAGAGAAGTCCTTTTTCATGCATCACTATTGACCTCAACAAAAGAATTTTACTTTTTCACACATAGAAAAAAAAACAATATACTTAACAAAGGGTCTCTCTAGGCTTGTCTTTATGAATACAAAGTTTGGACGTACCTCTATCATTAGTAAAAAAATCAGCTCGTTTGCCCGAGCCATAATGAAGATATTCATTTTTTTTGACAAAATGACTTTTGGTCCACTCTGTATATTGGTTTTTTCCCTACTTGTGAAAAAGTAAAATTCTTGTGTTGAGATTAACAGCGATAAATAAAAAAGGATCTCTCTAGGCATGCCTCTACAGATATAAGCTTTGAACATGCCTCTATCATTAACAAAAATATCAGCTCGTTTGTTCGAGCCGTAATGAAGATATTCAATTTTCGTTTTTGTCAATCAATTTTCGGACACCCTGTATATATGTATAGGTAGAAAAAGCATTACAAATTATTGTAGTATGTAAATTATGTCAATAATTCACTTAAAAACAAAAAGACGAGAAGGAAAATCGTATGCGATATTTTCTTTTGAAAAGTATATTTGAGTATTCTGCTGTATTATTCCCTGACATAGAACTCTCTTTCATTTGTAGATCAGACAAGCATGCCTCCTAATATCATGTGGATGCAAGACGGCATCACTGTGGCCGGTGGAAATGAAAAAGGCAATGAATTAAATCAACTCTTTTATCCATAGGGTTTGACTGTTGATCATGATCAAAATATTTATGTTGCTGACTGTGTGAATGATCGTGTTATGGAATGGAAGCCAGGTGCAACTAGTGGTCGAGTTGTTGCTGGAGGAAATGATGAAGAAAGCAAGGCGAATCAATTGGATGGTCCAAGAGGTGTGATTATCGATAAACAAACAGATAGTCTTATCATCTGCGACTCACGCAACCGTCGAATAGTGCGATGGCCTCGACAAGGTAGTAGAAATGGCTAAATGATCATCTCGAATATCAACTGTTTTGGTGTAACGATGAGTAATGATGGATTTCTTTATGTTTCTCACATCGAAAAAGATGCAGTGAGACGATGGCGAATAGGTGAAATCGGTGGAACAGCGGTTGCAGGTGGTAATGGAAAAGGTAATCGTCGTCTAGATCAGCTCAATTCACCAACGTTTGTCTTTGTGGATCAAGATCACTCAGTCTACGTATCAGACTCTAATAATCATCATGTGATGAAGTGGATGAAAGGTGCAAATAAGACATTGTTGTTGCTGGTGACCAAGGTCCAGGAAATTCCGTCACGCAATTATATAATCCTCAGGGAGTAGTCATCGATCAAGCAGGCACTCTTTATGTGGCCGACTATAGGAATGATCGGATGATGTCTTGGCCAAAAGGAGCTTGACAAAGAAGTATTGCTATTGGTGTAAATGGCCAAGGAAACTAAGCGAACCAACTCAATCGACCCCGGGGATTATCATTTGATCGACTGGGTAATCTTTATGTGATCGATCATTGGAATCATAGAGTGCAACGATTTTCACTCGATGTTTATTCCTAATTATTATTTGACATGATTTAGTTTTGTGTTTTTTTTTTCTTTAGTATTGAACTAAACAAAAAAGTTCGCTCTGCTTTAACAAGACTCAATCGAACGAAAAATAGGTGGTGTTACCTTGGATGTTGGATGAGAAACAGGTGAGAGATATTAATGTTTCTTTGTTCATACATTCGATCGACAACCTTACATTCACTAGCATCATATGAATTACATTTTGAAATCCAGATTTCAAGCTGGGTATCATACAGCTTCTCAAGAAGTTGATTGTACAAACAAAAATGTTCCAAAAAAAGGTTATATTTAGTCTAAAATATAGCTGCATGATTTGAATGAATATTATTTCACCTTCGGAAAAGCTTTATTCACATTTGTATTTTTCTTCTTCATGCTATTTTGTCGTGTTTATTTAACTGTGTAGTTGAATTTACAGTGTGATTTTTTTTCTTACCGTCTAGAAAATAATCCCACGGTTATGCAGAATGTTGATACAAGTACTTTGTTTTGTTGTAGGGCATTTGTAAGATGTTCTGCTTCTTTATCAGTAAATCCATAGTCGCTGAGATCAAATCTAGCGTATGTCTGTGTGCAATTATGAATGAGTGATGAGATAAGAAGGTTGGGTAGAGAGTATGTTTCATTGTTCTGTTTTAGAGGATTGGCAAGATATTGTGCTCTTTCACCATCGATTTTATCGCATCCGAGCTAAAGTATGATGAGTGTCTGTATGAAATAGTGAAAGAGTAATGATACGAAGAGAAAATTTAAGGTTGTGTTACATTGTTGCATTTTAGAGCATTGACAAGATGTTGTACTCGTTGCCCACTGATTCGACTATCCGTGAGACTAGATGTTGTGATTGTCTGTGTGAAATAATGAGAAGATTAAAATGATTAAAAGATGGGTGCGGGTATGGATATGGCTGTGGGTGTGTGGGTGGAATGTGGATGTGGATAAATATGACGACAAGACTTACACTCACACCACCTCCCACATCCATACACACTCACATCCACACACACATACTCACACCCATATCTACACGCACACCCTCACATCCACACACATACCCATACCCACACCCACACCCTC